CTTTTGAATGGGAGACTGAGCAACAAGTTTATACTGAATGATAGTAGAAGTATAGATGCTTGCAGTTAAAAATCCTAAATTTAAATGATCGCTCCATCCGTTTGAAGCTTTAAGACTACGGACAATTTACTAAACCCCTCTGAGCCTTCATTTCCTTATCTGTCACAAAAGACTAGCTAGGAGACCTATCTCTCTAGGCTGCTGTGAGGATTAAGTGAGACAATAAACATGAGTGCTCAGTACAATGCCTAATGCCTAAAAAATGCTTCATAGCTGGGAGCTATTTAATAAATCAAAACAGGTCACAGATGGGAGCAAAGGAGATCAGAGCAAATTATTATGGACTAAAGCTGTGACCAGGGGGAGGATGTTGGCAACCGGCTTTCACATGAAATCCTTGGTAAGGCACGAGGGGGTGGGGACAGCTGTGCTGATGCTACAGTGGTCACTAGCCACAGGTCACTAGATTAATAACAATTAAAGGAGACAAAAAAATCAGTTCTGCAATTGGACTAGCCACATTTTAATTGCTCAATAGCCACATGTAGTTAATCTTGGCAAAAAAGTCCTTTTGATTTATGTTGACTTAAAATGCCCATGTTGAGTCGAATATTAAGATGGCATTTATGAATACCTGGTTACTTTCAATAATATCTGCATGAAAACTAATTTGCCCTTGAGTTTTTTTTATCTTTTATCTTACAAAATCTGAGGCTTGTTAAAACTCTGTTAGCCAAGCTTCTGTGCAATTTTTCAAGCTGTTAGAATATTTTTGATCATTGTTTATACCAGACCATGTGAATGTATTCAGCGATATTCTATGAAGGGGGCCGTCCTTGCTTTTCTTGATTGAGTTTCTGAATTCTATCATTAGCCTTAATACCTCTGCAATTATCTGAATCTGGTTATTAACATGTTATTTCTACACTCCTCCTCCTTCCCGTCTCCTACCCCACCCTCATGTCCTCTGAATTGGAAGCTGGGGAAGAACGTGTGAGTCTTAAAGTGATCATTAGTTTGGCAATACCTGGCTCGTAACAGCCGCACCTATTACGACAGGGGTGACAGGATCTGTTCTGTGGCTGCACTGCCCTAATTATATTCCTTAGGGACCACAGTCTTGAGATGAAGCCTTCCCATACAGCCTCTGCAGGGCAGCACTTTATGGTCGGCTTGGAAATATCTAAATGGAACCTGTGTAGCCAACGCGTTTACTGTCATTAGTTAAGCAGGCAGCCCGTGTGCCTCTTTCAGCTCCCTGACCCACATTTCATCCATGCTCTGCTGTTTTTCTCCTGCAGGGTTATTTCCTGAGTAAAGCCCAGAGCTTATGAGTCTCCCAGCAGAGAGCTCTGTTCTGACCTCCCTAAACAGGCAGTTTCACCTGCTGCGCTAGTGTTTTTCTGCTTCCTAGTCAATCTGTTAAGATTTTAACAGGAGATTCTTGGATACCTTTTCAGAAAACATATGGGTGATTGTAATTACTTTGGTCTGGTACAATTTTAGAATTCAGGGAGTAAGGAAGAGGTGCAAATCGTCTGTTCATAAATAACCAAATCTGTGGGCATTTTAAAAAGCCTTCCGAGCAGCAAGAGAATTTATGTGCCACATTTCACCCTTGGCACACTTTCCAAATGAATTGTTCAAAGGGAAGTTCTATTAGGACAAATAGAGAAGAGGACCAAGACCAGATGTGGATTTTTAGTTAATATTTACGCAACACCCAAAGGGAAGATGGTATTGCACAATAAACTAAAAATGTCTTAGGCAAATAAGGAAATCTTTACCCTGAAGAACTGGCACTGCAAAGGTATGAATTATACAACAAAGGACTGGGAATACAAAACAAATGCAGGGTAGGTGGGGCGGCTGTAAAGAGGAATTCATTGAGGAAGTGGTGAGGCAGCAGATGTGTGGAACCTACTCAGGGAAAATAAGAGCTTAGCACTTTTTTGGCCAGTCTTCTGTCTAAGGTAGAAAACTCAAGCCAACCAGCCCAATTTCCTTCATCTGTAGAGAGCAACAGTAGCTTTAAATAGAACACCTATATGTTCGGAACGGAGACAGCAATCTTGTATTGGGTAAGTACACCTTAATAAGCTAAAAAGCTATGTCTCCGCATTTTCAGTGGTCTCCCGGGGTAATGACATCTTTAATCTGATTTTCCCCCTGAATTTGTTCTAGGAAGGTCGAAAATGCAGGAATTGGCTGCTTCTCAGACATTGGAGAGCAATTTGAAAGAGACCATGGCTTAATGCAATGGCAGGATATTGAGACCCTTGGTGAGGTATAATAGAGATTTTGTTAAAAGCAACTGGAGTTTTCTAACACAGCTGGGTTTTCAGGGATGGCAAGATGTACCACTTTCTGGAGCATCTCACAGTCTCCGGGGCCTCCAGTTCAGCACAATGGGGGCCCGGAGAGACGAGAAAAGGAGATGGATGAGGGTGGAAATACTTATTTCAAACTATGGAAGCTTGAAAATGGAGAGCTCTCTGGAAAATGCTTACAAGATTTTAGCACAATGAACCCAAAGCTCTCTAATATGTGTACACCTCCAAGTCCTCTTAATTACTGAAGAGAGCTGTGTGCGCCTTTCCGCTAAGGGTCTTCCTGCAGGGTTGGTACATTTTTTGGATGCATTCTCAAGAATTTTAAACTTATTTCCTCTTTTCTCCCTTGTTAATTCTTTATCATACTTAACATCAACAGTAAATCAGCTTATTTTGTCAGAATGAAAATTTGTGTGTTTTCAGTTATTATATAGTTTCCCTAAAGCATATTTATTTGTTCATTTATTAGTTGTCAACTTTTTTTTAAAAGATGTATTTATTTACTTGAAAGGTGGAGTTACAGAGAGACAGAGGCAGAAATAGAGACAGATTTTCCATTTGCTGGTTCACTACCCAGATGACCGCAATGTCTGGAGCTGTGTTGATCCAAAGCCAGGAACCAGGAGCCAGGAGCTTCCTCTGGGTCTCCCATGCGGGTGCAGGGGCCCAAGGACTTGGGTCATCCTCTACTGCTTTCCCAGGCCATAGCAGAGAGCTGGATCAGAAGTGGAGGAGCCGGGACTTGAACTGATGCCTATATGGGATGCTGACACTGCAGGCGTGGGCTTTACCTGCTTCCCCACAGTGCCGGCCCCAGTTGTCAACATTTTAAAAAGTGTATTCTACACTTTATAGGCTCTAGGTATTATGTGCAAAACAAGACTATTACAGTTGGGCCCAGCTTTTTGTTAACGTGCCTGGGAAGGTAGCAGATTATAGTGCCAGTACCTGGGTCTCTGCCACCCATGTGGGAGATGAGGTTGGAGTTCCTGGCTCCTGGCTTCAGCCTGGCCCAACCCTAGGTATTTCAGTCACTGAGGAAGTGGAACAGAAGATGGGTTATCTTTCTCTCTCTCTCTGTGTAGGGGGCATCTCTTTCTCTGTAAATCTACCTTTTAAATACATACATACATAACTAACTAAAATCTTTAAAAAAAAATCCTTGCCATCTTCTAGAGCTCCCATTCTAGTAGTGATTCTAAATGATAATGCAATAAAATAAATAAAGAGATCTTTTTAAAAAAAAAAAAGGTAAAAGACGTTTACTTGTTTTTCCCAGAGGACAAGATCTGCCTATTGTGGATGGTGTAACAGATATACAAATTAAAAAAAATCATTTGTGTTCATACAGATTTCACAAATTTTCTTGTGAAATCGGGAAAATGTTGTAGCTTTGTAAGGCAATCGCCCAAATCACAGTATTTGCTTTCCAAGTCACTGCCAGAAGTCCAAGGGGCCGCAATTGCGGACTTGGGGTTCAGGGATTCCCGGGGGCACACTTGTTTTCCATGCCTTGTGGTGGCTGTGCAGCAGGGGGCGCTGCAGTAGTGTTCATCGTGGTCCATGGCAGACACTTGTCCAGCCGGAACACCAGCAGGCTCGGAGGGGGTGTGGCAGGCAGCCCGCCGTCCTCTTCGCTCTTGCAACTTCGGAACCCAGAGCTCGTTCTAGACGGGTCGTTCCTGTACACCGTATTTCATCGTGCTGGATGCCGTCCAGCCCTGTATCCGGGCGCAAAGGAAAGGGTACTCGCTTCCCGCTTTACCGGGAGCACGCCCGTGACCGGGTCGCCCCAGCGGCGTCCCGGGAACCCTGTGTCCTCAGGCTCAGCCGGACAAGTCCCCCTGCAACCGCGAACGGCTCCCCTGCCGACCCCCAGCCCTTGCTCCGGGGCGGTACGCGCCTGCCTCATCTTCGGTTTGGATCTGTTGTTACCCTTCCTGCGCGAACCTTGCTCTCCCGCGCCCCCCAAGTCCTCCGGCCGACCGGACTCCGCGCCTGGCAGCGCCTGGCACCCGCCGCGCTGGGGCTGAGACCCGGCCCGTGCCAGGCGCCGCCAGGCAGCAGCCGCGCGGACAGACGCCGCCGCGCTCCTCCGGCCGCCGCCCGCCGCGCTCGCGGGCCACCCTGGAGGGCAGTCTTCCAGCCGTCGCCCTTGGGTCCCCGGGGGCTTTCCAGAGGGAAATGGAAGGTGAAAGACACAGGGGGCGGGGCCTGCGGCTCCGGGGCGGGGCGGTGGGAGGAGCCTTCGGGGCGGATCTGGGTGGAGAGAGGGGCCGGGCGAGCCGGCGATGGAGGGTTGGCCACGCAGGCGCGGGGGGCCGTGTCGAGAGCCCCACGCGGGAGCCTCTGGAGTCCCCAGTCGCCGCTTCTCACTTCAGCGGAGAAGGGGGCTGAGGCCGGGAGGGAGCTAATAAAGAGTGAATGCGCTGCAGCCGCCGTGGCGGCCGGAGTCAGCCCGAGCGACCCCGGAGCGGTGCGCCCGGGCGGCGGCGAGGGGAGGCGGCTCGCCCGCTCCCTCCCACCCGCCCCTCTCCTCTCTCTCTTCCTCCAGCTGGTCCCAGAGCCCGGCTCGGGCCGGCCCCTCTGCCCCCATCCCGCAGCCTGCCACCTCCTCCGCGTCCCCCGCTCGTCACCTAGGGCGCCCCGCACTGCCATGGGTTAGGGTGGGGGCTGCGAGCCGCGCCGAGGACCAGCCCAGCGCAGCCGCCGCCGCGGGGCGCGGAGCCCGAACGCCGCCGCTCGCTGCGCGCGGGCGCCGGGCATGGGGAGCGCGCTGTGAGCCCGCACCCTGGGAGGACGCGGGAGCTGCGGGGACCGGCGCGAGGAGGAGGCGGAGGAGGCGGAGAGGAGCCGAGGGGCCGTGCCTTGCCAGGACCCGAGGGAGGGAGAGGAGGGGGTGAGGGAAAAGTGAAGCTGGGAGGAGAAGGCGGCGGAAGGTGGGGATTGATGCTTCTGTTTTTTGTTGCCGCTGCTGCCCTCGCGCTGGGAGCCGAGCCGGAGGGAAGGCGGTGGAGAGATGATTGCAGAGTTGGTGAGCAGCGCGCTGGGGCTCGCCTTGTATCTCAACACCCTGAGTGCGGATTTCTGCTACGATGACAGGTAAGGGGGCTGCGTGGGGGACTCCGCGGTGGCTTCCCGGGCTTGCCGCTCTCCGGCCGCGAGTGCCTCTGTGGGAGGAACGCGCTGCGCACCTGAAGCTGTGGGCGACACGTAAACATTGACACCTACAGCAAGCCCCAGGGATGCGAGCGCGCTGGGCGGGCTGAGCGAGTTTCCGCTCGGAGTTTGCTGCAGGTTCTCTAAGCTGGCTTCTCGGCTGTTGCCAGACGCTTAAGTTTCTTAGCGGAAATCCAGGCAATTTGGGAAACTTGTTTAATGAACGTGCTTTATTGTTTTGTGTCTTTACGTCTTAGGTATTGCTTGGTGCAACAAAAGCACATTAAGCGATTTTACGTCTGGGCTGGAAGGAAGCCGCTCCCCGCCCCCTAATAGATCTTCCCCGTAGCGTTTCCTTTTATTGATGGGACACTTTTATTTCCTGAACTTAAAACACACGTTTGACAGTTGCCAAAATAGCGTAGAGGGAGATCGCGCTGTGCTTCAACTCTCCCTTTCTACGTGTACCGTTACTTTACTTTGAGCCCCGCTTCCCCAGGCTCCCTAGCCAATCGATGGGGCAGGACTTGATAAAAGCCTTGGCTTTCCTGCCTGTTGGGCAGTTTTACTTGGGAAGTGAGTGAACCTTTGTGCTAATTGGGGACAGAGATGCCCCTGGGACTGAAGTTGTCTTCTGCATTTGGGTTATTTGGGTGGCTAATGAAACCTGAACTGTGTTGTCAGAGGAACTACACTGATTTCTGGGAAATGTCACACTTCTACTAGTATCTCTGCTTATTTTTTTAAGCGTTGTTAGTGTTTAGAAACTGATGAAAAGCTCCAATAGCCATTAGGGAAAATTCCAATTTGTGTCTTTCCGGTGACTTAATGTGATTACAATTAAAACAGATGCATAATTAAAATATATTAGGGAGAACAGCACGCTTGGCTAAACTTATTAACCGTCCTGGGGTGTTTCATGCTCCATTGAAATTAAACCATCCAAAAAGTGAGCACAGATTTACTTTGACAGGTTTTCAGCAGCCTCTCTGGGCTATGGAAAGTGAATGGATCCCCAGGGTTAGGGCGTGGCAGCGAGTGAACTTGAGCAGAGTGGTTGATAGTGAGGGGAAGTGAGTGCAACATCTTCTGGTGGTAATTAGCTCGGTGCTGTGTTCTCCAGAGTGCCCGCACTCCTGCGAAGAGGATGTTCACGGATATGTGCCTTAAATCCGCCCACCTTGCTTCGCATCCAGGGGTCTCTTATGAAACCCCTGGTAATCAGTGCAAGAACATTCAACAGACCCTTCGTAATGCATTTCATGCAGTGTCTTTCAGAGGCTAGTTGATAGGAAGCTGCTGATAGACATAAAGTTTTCCTCAACTTTTAATGTGTACTGCTTTCCGAAGTTACACTACATACTCTGGGAAGCGGATTCTGTGTAAGAGTGACATGAGCTGCTTCTCTTCCCTTCAATTTGACAGAATGGTGCACCTGCTCTTTCTAGGGTGTTACCCCCAAATTCTCGCTTCCAAAGATGAGTGACTTTCAGGGATGACTGTGTGCAGTTATTGGTTCTGTCGGGGACTGTTTGGATAGTGAGCATTTAAGCCAAGAGTATGGTGTTCCTATTAAAGAGAAGAAGCTTACTGTAACGCAGTAACTGTGCTGGACCACTGTGATAAACCGTGTGTTCCTGTTGCGTGCTGCTCCTAATTGCTGTCTATTTCTTAAAAGAGTTCATGTCAGAAGAAACCATTGAGAGTTAAGAATAAAACTATGTAAGTACGTTTTTCTATAGGTCTGTGCTCTTGAAGCATCAGTCCCAAGTGTTAGGACTGTAACTTTGTGAGAATGGTGTGAGTATGATGATAAATTAGTTGTCCTCTGATGGTTGGCAATTGTTATCAGTTCTTCACATGCTGTAGGTCAAATGACTTCTGTTTCCTAGTTACACAGATGAATTTAGTGTGATGATTTGCCCATATGCTCAATACGATAAGTGGACATTATATACTGAGTTATACTTTGCTACACTTTAAAAAGTACATTTCACTCTGATTTCTTAGAAGCACAACTGCATATTGAATCACGTTCTGTTAAGAATATGAAGTCTGCAGAGTAACAACCTTCATTTTTATGTATGCTAGAAATTATGAGACACCTATTCACAGGCGCATTGAGTTTATTTGTTGTGTGCACAGCATGATAGAGTGAAACATTGCCAAGGAGCACTGTAAATTGTGGCTTTTCAGATATATTTTCTATCCAACTTCACTGGTGTATGAAGGGGGAGAGGAGCTGGGGAGCCAAGTGGAAACCCTAGGATGAGGATAATGTGTTTATTTCCACGACTCTGTCTCTGCCTGCAAAGTTGACATTTACGTTGCTTAAGCTGCATCTGTGGATTCTGCTGTCCCCAGGAGCTTGTGTGGAATACAGTCCTGTGAGGAGAGGCCCATGCTGGTCATGAAGAGAGCAGCGCTCCAGGAGGGAGATGGCTCCTAGTGCCTGGCTTACCTCACTAGCCCCTGCCTCTGCATTTGGGCTGGAAGAGCCTGGCATTTACTTTAGCAGGGCCTTATATTACTTTAGCTTAAACATTATTACTGTGGTACTTCTCAAAGTTATCATTTCCTTTAAGTATAGTGATCAGGTTTACTTTATAAACTCTCTATATAATTACTTTCAATGTTTGATGTAGCTTGGTTGAAATTAAGTGGTAACATGAAACTTTCTTATAGCAAAACCTATTTCCCTATGGTAAAATTTAATATTTTACGAGTGTTTCTGTGCTAAACTTGAGAATACGCATATGATGTGATGAAATAGTGGACGCAAGGAGAATTCAGCCTCTGATGAATATGCATATCTAGGTTTCAGCTTCATCCTCCTTTCCCTTGCTTTCAATCTAGTATACCAGCAATATTGAGTCTTAAGTGGTGGTTAGAGTAAAAGTGGAATTAGGAATATGCCATCTCTGCCAAATTTTAAGTCATGTAGTGTGTGACTCCTTGAAGGATCCTCTCTTATTTTCTGGAATAATATGGTATTTGGGTCAGTGGTAAAAACTTGCTGACCCCAAATTCTCTGCTCTCTCCTGTGTCTGTTGAGGATGGCATGGCGTCCTTTCCCCTATCTCCTTTTTAAAAATACAGTCCCAAGTTTCTCTTGGAGATAACACCAGCAGGGGAGTCAGCTTTCTTCAAATAAAAGTGAACAGAGTCTATTGTTTTGCAGTCTCTAATTTCATTGTGCACATATCCAGTTGCTGACATGCCCTCTATGATATTGCACAAGTCAATTAAATATATAGACAAAATGATAAGTAAATGCTGCTCCTCTGTGCTTTTAATTCTCACATGAGTGAATCAGTGAGTTTGAGAAACAGACAATTTGGGCTTCTGGAAGTGGAAAATGTATTTGTGGTTCCTTTGAAGATATTCTTTCCTTGCCTGTTTTGTGTTTGCGTGATTATTAATGTTACCTGTAGGTCTCTTAGCCATTCTGTTGTGCAATAAATGTGTGAAACCTGGAAAAACAACTCCGTGCTCCCATTTCTACTCTTGGATTAAAATTACCCAAAACTCTCAGTAGCACGTTCATAGTTTAGTTTTTCATTTGAGTATAAATGTAAATCTAGGTTTTTATAGAAACATTAGTTAAGATTATCTTCATAATGAGTTTGATAGTATTTTAAATGAAGGAATGGAAAATTTAAGGCATATTAACAGTTTCTTAAAAACATGCTTTTTTCCCTAAAGATATTCAACTATTCCTTGTACTTGACCTTTTTTTTTTTTTAGGATGTATTTATTTTACTTGAAAGTCAGAGTTACACAGAGAGAGAAGCAAAGGAAGAGAGAGAAAGAGTGAGAGAGTCTTCCACCCGCTGGTCCACTCCTCAAATGGCTGTAGTGGTTGGAGTTGCACTGATCCAAAGCCAAGAGCCTCTTCCGGGTCTCCCATGCAGGTGCAGGGGCCCAAGAACTTTAAAGCAGGCACCTTCCATTGCCTTCCTGGGCCATAGCTGAGAGCTGGAAGTGGAGCAGCCGGGCCTTGAACACGGTGATTGTATGGGATGCCGGCACTGCAGGTGGTGGCTTTACAGGCTATGCCACAGCCACGGCCCCTGTACTTGATCTTTTAATGTTACTGTTAGTTTGTGTTTTTGACCTGGAATGATAAGAATCCATTAGGAAATGATCAATCTCTCTGTTAACTTCTCTTTAAAAAGTGTCTTCTAATAGATTTGTCTTGGACCAGTCTGGGATTGTTATCTTCAAATTCCAGAATATGTAATCACTGAAGACATGCCTGATATTTAGTGAAAGCATGTTTAGGAAAAATTCCCAAGAATTGTTAAACAAGGGGAAATTTTCTTTGTATCAAAGCTTGTCTTAATAGTTTATTATTGGAAGAAGCCACTGTGTGGACACCTATTATTTTACTCTTTATTTTCTCTAGTTTATAATACACTGAAAAACTGTGATTGTATGCCATTTATAGTTTATGGATTTGTTTTATTTGGATTGCTATTTTCTAGCTAAATTTTGATTGCTTAAATCTATTTGGAAAAGGTTCAGTTTGCTATTTTGAACTAGTACATCTCTTATCAATCAATAAATATGAAAATTAGGTGAAGTCAGTATGGAGCACTTTGCCCACCTCCATTGAGCCTGTCACATGGCATTTATCATAGCAAATGACCCAAATACAGGCACTGAGAGGACAGGTACAAATGCCAAAAGGAAAGCTGCTTGCCAACCATCTGTCCCTCAGTTTTCGTACATACACACACACACACACACACACAGAGGATTATTAATTTACATTGGTGATTCTGTGAACTGTTGTCTTGCTGTATGCACCTAGCTTTTTTGAGCTAATATGGCCCTGTGGTAACACTGAATTCTGAAACAGCACCAAGATTTTGGATTCCAACCTGAGTTAGAGGCACAGTTTGTTTTTCTGATCCCTTTGTTGTGGCTCACACACTAAG